AAGGGCAAGAAGGAGAAGAAGGGGAAGGGGGCCGAGAAGACGGCCGCGAAGATGGAGAAGAAGGTGTCTCGCCGATCCAAGAAGGAGGAGGTGAGGGGCGGGAGCGGGGGGCTCCGGTGGTCTCGGCCCGCGGGGCTTGGGCCTCCCCTGGGGCCTTGCGGAGCTGCCTTGGGCCCTCTGTGGGTCTCGGGGCGTGAAGGGGAAAGCGGCGGTGGAGGAGGAAGAGGAGGAGGCATGGGGAGGCTGGAGGAGTGGGTTGGAGACAGGAGTGCTTCAGGTTGAAAACCAAGGAGTTTATCCGAAAGCAAACAGCTCTAACTTGGTTAAGTGACTTAGGTCCCATTAGGGAGCCATCACCTGCCGAGTGCGAGGGCACTGGGAAAAGGGGGCAAGGGGTGAAATGAAAACACTGCCAGGAAGACCTTTGGCCGATTTCTGACAACCTGGGTGCAGCGTATGACAGCAGGTGTAAAAAGGGGACAAGAAAATGCAGATTAATCCTTCTTGCTTTCTATCTCCTCAGCCCTTCTGATCTTAAAGGGTAATAACGCCGTTTGTTTTTTTCAGTCCTAGAGCAGGTGCTTCGATTTAGGCTTCACAATGGATCTTTTTCTCTGGTCAAAATACAATCTTACCAGCATAATACGAAGCTTAAGACAGGGAAGGTCACAGTGTGTATGTATACTGGCCGCAGGGAGAGCTGATGCCATGATTCAGGGGCAAAATCCGCAGATGTTGGGAATCCCTGCTTTGGCCACACCTTCAGAAAGGTTAACTGAAAGGAGGTGGTGAGCAGTGGCGGGGTTGTAGGAGAGATGGTGGATCAGAAACTCCCTCTAGCTGCAATCCTGCTTCTGCCCTTGCAGCTTGGTGTCTCCGTGGTTTTGGAGGCAGAGTTTATTTTTAGTTGACTGAGGTTGAAAGGGAATAAAAATATGTGCAGGTTTCTCACTGGCCAAAGTATGAGCTGGGAACTGAAGAGTTCCTAGTTCTATTCAGGTATTTTTCTGTTGCAGACAAAGAGGATTAGCTGGTTTATGACATATAGTTGCTTGTAATTTTGTTAAAGCTTAAATGATTTACATTTACTTACTGATTATGCTGTGTTTCTGCTGCAGGAATATGAGGTGTGCACTAAATGCACTTTGCATCCCATCCTTTTAGGACTCTTCTGAGCTATGTTTTAGGGGAGACCAGTCTTTGAAGCACATCTGGAAGTCCTCAGCATCCATTTCTTGTAGTTGAATGAAGGAAACCTAAGCAGACAATTATTTTGTTTTAAAAGAGAAATGATGAAGGTGGGTGCTGGTTGCAGGTGGCTCTGTACATGTCAAGGAACTCACGTCTTGCTTTTTATTTTCAGGAGGATCTTGAAGCCCTGATAGCAGAATTCCAAAATTTGGATGCTAAAAAGACCCAAGTAATTGAGTCATCCTGCCCCCCTCCCTCACCCAGGTAAGAGATTGTGCAGGGGCTTTGGTTATCACTTACACAGCCCTTGATGGTGCTAGTAATGAAATTGATTTATATGAAGTTATTTCCTAAGAGTGGAAGGCGTGATATCTAGCATAGCTGATATTTGGAGTTATAAAATATCAGGTATATTGAATCCCTGCTTCAAAAATGGACCAAAAGATTTCTTTTTTTAAAAAAATTTGTCCTACCCATAGCTACGTGTCCTCATTAAACTAATTTTTGTTCTTGGCACGCCAGCATTAAAATTCAAGAGCCCACGTCAAAAGGCGTGTTAAATGACAGTATAACGTGTGCTCCTTAAAATAGGAGAAGATTTCAGACAGTGTCACATTCATCTTGCTGGAAGTTTTTTAAGAAGTTCATTTCTTGCAGAAGTTTTTAGCCCCGGGGTGAATATCACAGCCTAGTAATGTGGCAGATGATGGAGAGACCTGTGTGGCTGGAAGGCGGGGGTGCTAGTGCTAGCTGAGTTCAAGGCTGCAAGCTTCTGAGTTTGGCAAGGCTCTTACACATGGACTGTTTTTGGCCTTCCCTCTTCCTTCTGCAGGCTGAATGGTTCCCTCTCTGCTCACCCTGAGAAAGACGAGTTGATCCTTTTTGGAGGTGAATATTTCAATGGCCAAAAAGTAACGTATCCTTCCATATTTTTTTTCTTCTTTCTTATCCCCTTTCCCTGCCTTTTACTGTAATTTGCATGAGTATAATTTGAAATTATATCCAAGGCAGCAGTCATAAAATATGTATTTGTCCCTGAATGAGAGCAAAATAGCCTTTTAATTCTGGCGTGATACTGTCTCATGCCTGAACAGTTGGCAGGAAGGAGACATGCTAGAACCCATTAAGGATTCAGAGTGATTGTCTCAGCATCAATATTTCAGGGCTTCATAATTTCTCCAGACTTACTTGTGGCCATATCTGCCCCTCATTTTTGATAACTACTGAAGATTTTCCATCTTTCAGGACAGGATAACTTCTGCACTTTTGCTGCTGGTGGGACGTTGCCTGCCTTGGAGCTGTGTACAGGAGCAAATATTTCCAAGTGGGCACTTGTTACTGAATTTCAGCAAACTGCAAGTGTTTGTTCTGGAGACAAACAGGTCTTAATGACCCTTAGAAGTTGTACATCCTGGAGCTTGAAAACTGAAGCCTGCCAATGATATTTGGCTGCCTTGGGATCTCCCAGTGTGATGTGCTAAACTAATTCTGCTCATTTTACTGCCTTAAGCTGTTCCTGTCTCTGGAGATGAGCAGCTGTTTGGGCAGCTTTAACCTGCATAGCTTGTGTTAAGCTCCCAACTTCTTAAATCCTCATAACTGAAGCTATCACAGGCTTAACAAAGAATTTGGGAAAGAAGAGTTCAGTCCAGTGGATCCCTCTGGAGAAGCTGCTGACTCTGAGCCTAGTGGAGGAGATTGTTGTCCTCCTTCCCTCCCTGATGAGGCGGGTGGGCTGGTGCTGTGCTCCTTCTCCCCCAGGCTCACAGGGGACTCACAGAAAATGTGTGTTTTCCTCTCCACCAGACATACCTGTACAACGACCTGTATGTGTACAGCATCAGGAAGAACAGCTGGTCTAAAGTGGAGATCCCCAACCCACCACCCAGGCGATGTGCTCACCAGGTAAAGTGCTGGGTGTCAGAGCAGCAGCTGGGGTTGTTCTAACACAGCACTAAAGGTGGGTGGGAGTTGGTGGATTTTTTTTTTTTCCCTTTTACCCCTGAGATTTTCTGATTTCATTCTCCTTGTAATGGGCTGTCAGTGGAGTGACTTCACCTCTGCTGCTGAGGGGACCTGCACAAGCCTGGCCAAGGTGGTTGTGCTCTCTGATCCCTGGGTGGCCTCTGGAAAACTTAAGTGTGGAATGAAGGTTCAGGGTTGTATCTGTTGGATCAGCAGGACTCGTGAAGGAGACTCTTCTTTTGAAGTTGAACTTTCTTTGCTGCATTATACAGAGACCAGCTCAACCATCCAGAATCCCAGGATGGCACTGAATTTGCAAAGTGCTGGTGGGGGTATAACTTTGACTGAAGTGCTATGAGTGGCATAGTTGCTGTGCATGGTGATTTCCTTAGTGCCTGCTGGCCTACATCTGTGGGCATTGCAGGTCCTGCCACTCCAGCAGTGGGAAAGCCCTGTTCATATAGGGGATCCCTGCTTTGCCAAGTGTCCCAAGTGTACAACATGATGGACTGTTAGCACTGACTGTGTGCATCCTGCCTTTGGGTTATGAGTTATTGGGGTTTTCTACCATAGAATCATTTAGGTTGGAAAAGACCTTTAAGATCATTGATTCTGATTAGCCTAACTCTTCAAGTCCTCTGCTAAACCGTGTCCCCTAAATGTTTCCTTGTGAGGTGGGCTGTTTCCTTCTGTCTGCAAAGACAGCAGACAAACTTGTCTGTATCTTTTCTGGGATACGATGACACTCCTCTAGAATTCACCTCTCTGGTGCCTGTGTCGTTAAGATCACTGGCTGATTGTCATGATGAAGATTTGGGTTTGTTTACTTCATGTGAACACCTGCACATCAGAAACTGGACCAAAGACTTGTATTTTTTGCAGGTCTTTGGCCCTCACCAGCTGGCTGATAGATTATCTTGCCTGTCACAGCAAGTGGCTGGGTGACTGGTACATTTCCAAAGCTGCCAGACAGGAGGCAAGTGTTATTTTCCTACCCATGGCCAAAGCTCTTTAGAGCTTTCTGGTAAGATCCAACACCCTGGTTAGGTTCATGCCCCCTTGTTGTGCTCCACTAAAATTCCAGTCTTGCTCTGAGCTGAGTATTCTTTCTTGAATTGGAAGGTTCTGCCTTGATTTTTGGACTACCTTGTGGTGCTTAAAATACAATTTCAGAGGCCGGGTGCCATAAGGAGAGATTCAAACGCTTGTTTCCCTGTGTGAAAAGGAGGTTGCTTTGTGGGTGTGGAGCAGAGAGGTGCCTGTTGGGGTGGCAGCAGCCAGCAGGTGGCTGTCGAGCAGCCAAATCTGAGCTGAGCACTGGATTCTAACAAATAAAACGAGAAACCTCTGTCTGAGGAGTCCCCCTTCAACAGCAAGTTTTCTGTCTGATAATTACAGTGGCACAGGACACAGCTCACCCTTATTAGTCGACTGCTTTGTTGTCTTCCTTGTGACTTTATTTTTAACACCTATTCTGCTTGAGCTCAAAGGTAAACTGAAGCCTGTCTGTGGGTTACATGTGTTTGTTTTCAGTCTTATTTGTCATGTCTAGTCTCTGACACACGATCCTGTTTGGGTGACACTGGCTTCGTGACATCAGTTCAACAGAGCTGAGGTGAGGCTAGCTCTGGATGAGTGTTAGTTGTTTAAGGAGAAAGCCTAGCTGTCTAATGAAATTTTGAGCCAGCTCTTGAAAAGGTCACACACAAGTATGAGCAGGCTGTTGAATGTACCTTCCTCTTAAGCTTTTAAGCACTGGATACCCATGAAAATCAGGCACATACCCCATTTGTTGAGGTAACTCAATGTTCTCACAAATCCTGCTTGCAAACACACCCCATATTGTGTTTAATCATTGCATGTACAGGCTGGTTTATGTCAGGGCATGGTCATGTGTCTGATGCTAAAAATCTTTGCTGTTTGCTGGCAATGACAGGCAGGTCATGAAGCCTTCCTGAAGAAAGAAATCATTATTCCAGTGTTGGTCTGTGATGGGTACCCTGGAAAAAACATGTATGGAAGAATTTGTTTATAGTGCAAACAACCCAAGTCAAGGAATGAATTTGCACAGTCACAGAATTTCCTTTTTTGGGGATTCCTTCCTTAGTCCTAACACAGATAATTTTAATGAAGTAGAGTCTTTCTCTTCTATCACTGCTTTTAACTTTCAGCTTGCAGTGTTTTGGTGCTGCTCTGTGCAAAAAAGAGTTTTAAAAAAGTAAAAAAAAAAAGCAGCTCTCTGCTGCTTTCCCTAATCAGAACAGTAACAGTCTCCTCTTGTCCAAATGCTTCACATTCCCCTCTGTGTTTGGGGTTTCTGGTTGGGTTTGGCTGGGACTGGTCTCCACAGTCACAGCTGTGGAGAGGTTTCCTTTTCCTGAACAGAGACATTTGAACAATTGTTGTTAAACTAAATCCCAAGATGCTTGCCAGGGAACTCTGAGTTTGTAGAACTGGAGCTTGGAATGCTAGGAAGTGGAAGAGCCCAGCTCCTTGGCCAGCTTCTTTTTCCTGTAGGGAAGGTGTGCTGAACAATGAGGGACTTGGTTCAAAATTCCTCTTCCCTCAGCCCCAGAGAGCTGCTGTTGTCAAGCAAGGCAGCAGCAGCCAGTGCCACTTCTCTCTTCTCTGGTATAGACAGCTGCACGTTTAATGGATGAAGTTCTCCTGCCTCTGGTTCCTGAACTCTTGTCTGATCAGTTCTTCCTCCTTCTCCTGGCAGGCAGTGGTGGTGCCCACAGCTGGCGGGCAGCTCTGGATATTTGGTGGGGAGTTTGCATCCCCCAACGGGGAGCAGTTCTACCATTACAAGGATCTCTGGGTCCTGCACTTGGCTACCAAGACCTGGGAACAGATCAAGTAAGTGATGGGCCATTTTGTCTAGACTGTGCTTTGCCAAGAAAGCAAGATGGTCAGGATGATCCTTGAGGTCCTTTCAGGCCTGGGGATTCTGTGAGGTGTTCTGAAGTCAATGACCTTGACCTCACAAGGAGCTGTGCCAGCAGGATCCAAGTTTGGTGCCTGGTATAATGCTGTGGTTTCCTAGATGACTGCTCATCTCTCCCTTGAGTACAGAGGTGCCCACCCTAGAGATGGTAAACACCCTCCAGAAAGAAGGGGAAGTGAGAGATGTGTTCCAGCCCTCTTGAGTCCAAAGCTATTGTATTTAATCTGTGATTTTTGGAGCATGGGCATGCATGGGTGTTACTTAACTGTAGATGTCCACCTTCAAAACAGTACTTGTAGCTCCATCTGCCCAAGGCTGGGCTGTACAAGACCAGTGTGAGCATCTCCCAGTTTTACCATTGTTTGAGAAAACAGCTTGTATCTATACACAGAGCCAACTCCCTCCTGACAACTGGTGTTTGCTGCCTCAAGATGCCTTGGGTTAAACAAGCCAGTAACTCAGACCTGTCCAAGTAAACAGGTGCCAAAAGCCCTGGTAGTTTTTGACAGGGGCTGAGGTGTTAAAATATCATTAGCAGAGGGCTTTAGGCCAGACCTACTGATATTTCCTTAACCTTTGGCTTCTCAGTTTTGCTGCTCATGTTTATATTTGCATGAGAGAAGAAGAGGCCTTGGAGGGTCATCCAGTGGACTGAGAGGCAGGTGATGTGGGTTTGGTTCTGACGTTGACACAGACTTTCTCTGGGATTGTCTTTACTGTGGGATTAGTCAGAGTGGACTGGAACTCTTGTGTGGCTGACCCCTGAGGTGGCACTGGGGAAAGCAGCAGCTTTTGAACACTTCCTGATCTGCTGTTAGACCCATCGAGCTCCTGGTTAGGAGCTGCACATCCTTCCTTCATGAAGGAAGCCCTAAATCTGCTGAGGTGGACCACTTTTCACCTCACTTCTGAAGTGTGGGTGCCTGGCATCTGGGTCTGTCTCTTCTTGCACAGTAATTGAGCAGGTTTAGGACTGAGGGGTGCAGAGGGGGGTCCCCTGCCTGCCATGCCTGCCACGTGCCTGAGGCCACGCAGTGAGGCATCGTGCCTCTCCACCTTTTTTCCCCCTCCCTGCAAAGTGGTGGCACTGATATGGCCTGAAAAGGGGGAAATTTGGAGGTTTAATTTTACTGATGTTCTTGTAGCACTGAAGGGGCTCTGGGGGGTATATGGAGCCAAAGCACAAAAATCCCAAGGAGCCCTAACCAGGCTGGGTTGAAAGGATTCTTCATGGGGCAGGATCCCAGCAGCTCATCAGGAATCCAGGACTGTCCTGGGTGGCCAAGGGAAAACTGATCCATTCCTGAGGGCTGGTTCCTGTCCACCCACATCTTCTTGGCTCCAGACCTGGCCCTGTCACTCTAAACCAGCTGTAACTTGTCCTGCTGCAGGAAGCCAGGAGCACTCCAGAGAGCTCTGCTTGCCTTGGAGGAGTGGGGGTGAGAGAAACCTCCTGAACAAAATGATGGAGGGCTCTTTAAGAGGTGCAAGGATTACAAAGACCTGTCGCTGTGCAGGCTGATCTGCCTATTGTTGTTAGGCAGAAGCTGACGTAATAACTGTGCCTGGGCCCCCAAAATAACCACTGAATCCCTTCCTCAACCTCAGCCAAAAAAAAGGGGAGGAACTCAAACGTGTTGTGTCCCTGCAAGCAGGTGGGGGGGAGGGAATGATGCTCACCCTCAAATCCCTGCTGAGACAAAGGGTTGACATTTCAGCCAAACTCCTGGTTGAGAAACTCCTCACTGGAGAGCAGAGTTAACCCCCAGCTGCAGGGAGAGTGAGGGTGGGGGGTGGGATTTTTGTGAGTATCCAGAGGTGGCTTTGTTACCTCCAACCACTGATGGTGCCCATTGTTCTCTTGTGGGTTTGGACACGGTGCTGTCGAGCTGATTGAGGGTTCTCCACTCCCCAGACAAGTGCTGACCTGCCTGGGAGGAGGAAATGAGGTGGTGGTGAGGCTGAACGTGTCCCACATCATCCCACGTGGGAGAGCAGCCTCAGGAATGCTGCAAAAACACCTCCCTGAGCATGGAGTTTGTATGTGCTGCAGCTTGCAGGATGCCCCCAGCATAGAATTATAGAATGGTTTCAAAAATTAATTTAATAGAATGATCTTAGAAGGGTTGGAAGAGGCCTTCCAGAGCATCAAGTCCAACTGTTCATGCAGCTCTGCCAGGGTTGTGCAGGGTTTTTTTTTTTTCCCTCCTACTTCTTTTAAAACTGTGACTGTAACACGTGCTGCATTTCACTTCCTTCAGAAGTTTGCTCTTCTTGTCAGGGAGAAAAGCTCCCTCTTGTCAGGGAGACATTGCTGCTGTCCCTTTGCCACACAGATTTCTCATGTCTGTCTGAAATCAAGCACTTGCTTGTTTTGAATTGCCATTAACCAGCTGGGGTGACTGGTGACAGTTGGGGTCAGTGGCATTGGGAGAGCTTCTGGTATTTGGGTGAGTGTTTTTGGGAAGACTCATTGAAGGAGGTGGATGGTGGAGGGTTTGTTGGGTCCTGGTGGGGCACCAGCCTTGGTACAGCAAAGCTTCATGGTTTTGTTCCCCAGGGGAAGAAGCCCTGTGCCCTGTGTCAGGTGGGTTAGCTTGTATGTTAGCTGAACAGCTAAGATGACCCTGCTGTGATCTGAACTTGCAGTTCTAGGAAATCTAGTTATTCCAGCCCCACAGCTTAGATTTCAGACAATTCATTTGTCCTCCTGGCCTACACCAGAGCATCTTGGTGCTGTGAAAGCCTTGACTGTAAAACACTCCTGCAAAGAAAAGGGTGAATAACTCATCCCTGTGAATAACAGCCCTGTGCTGTGTCTGCACAGGCTGCTGGGCAAGAGGAGCTCCATTATCTCCTAGCACAGAGCCCAGTTGTGCCAGGCTGCTTGAGGGAGCTCAAAATTGCTATATTTAGCTGTATTTATTTGCATTTTGCACGCACAAAGATGGCCCAAACACAACAAATCCCAGCTTGTTAGAAGACTTGCCAGCAACTGCCTTTGACTTACTGGAACCACCTTATCATGCGTGTGATGCACGAGGCTGCCTCAGTGCATGAACTGTTTGTTACTCTGCCTTGGAGCTAAGCAATATTTTAACCTAATTGCCTCATTCCTTCCTAGAGAGAACATTCTTATTCAGCTCTGTGTGGCCCAGTGCACTCCCTCAAAGGGAGACAGGGAGCATCACGCTTTGGGGTCGTGCTTGGGAACTGGCAGATCCTTCCAGTGTAGTTCTTTGTCTTGCTTTTGAGCCTCTAGAAGCTCCATTTAATACTGGAATGTTAATGATACTTCCCATAACAGTTTTAGGAGAAGTGGTGCTGTCAATATGTCAGGGTGGTGTTTCAGAAGCGTGTGTTGAACGCCGTGTACACGGAGCTGGAGCAGTCACTGCAGTGCAGGATGCCTTTCAGCACACGTTTGCTTCTGACTGATGTGCTGTCTGTCTCTGGAAGGA